GGAAGTGGGACCTCATGAAACTGAAAATCTTCTGTACAGCAAAGGGCAGTGTGATTTGGACTAAGTGGCAGCCTACAGAATAGAAAAAGAATGGAAAGCGCTACACATCCCATAAAGGGCTAATGTCTGAAACATATAAAGAACTCAAAAAAACTAAACATCAAGAAAACAAAGAGTTCAGTTTTAAAATAGGGTACAGCTCTAAACAGAGAATTTTGAAGATAGGAAGCTCAAATGGCTGAGAGACACCGAAAGAAATATTCAGCATCCTTAGTTATAAGGGAAATGCAAATCTTACACTTGTCAGAATGGCCAAGATCAAAAACACAAGGGACAGCTCATCCTGGTGAGGATGTGGAGTAAGAAGAGCACTCATCCGTTGCTGATGGGAGTGCAAACTTATGCAGTCACTATGGAAACCAGAATGGTCATTCCTCAGGAAGATGGGAAACAATCTACCTCAAGATCCAGCTATACCACCCTTGGGCATGTTACAAACGACCCTACATCCTATCAGAGAAACTTGCTCAGTCGTGTTCATTGCTTCTTTATTTATAGTATTCAGAAACTGAAAATATTCTAGATGCCCATCAACAGATAAACGGAGAAAGAAATGTGGTCCATTTACACAATGGAATATTATTCAGCTGTAAAAAGATGAAGTCATAAAATTTGCAGGTAGATGGATGGAACTAGAAAAAAATCATCCTGAAAAAGGAACTCCTTACCCAGAAATACAAATATGGTATGTGTTTGCTTATATGTGGATATTAGCTCTTAAGTCAATGATAGAAAAAGGGAATGGAAGGGAAAGATTGATCTCCCTGGGAAAGGTCAATAGAATAGATAGTCATGGCTGGAAGACTGGAATGGGAGGATCAAGTGGGAATGGGGAGAGAAGAGGGGGCTGGGAAGGAATATGGAAGAGACGTCTAAACTTAAAGGCCATCTGATGGCAGGTATGAGAACCTAATACAATAGAAGCTACCTAAAATATATACATATATGAAGGCAATCTAAATGAAATAGTCAAATAGTGGAGAACACAGAGCCCCAACTGGACACCAATCTCTTGTTACCAAAGGAAGCTTGCAGTACTGGGAATGGGTTACATTCAATAGAGTAGTTGGCCACAAGGATAGCTTTTCTTCCATAGTTCTTACCTCATCTCAAGCCTTAAGCTTCTGCCCTGACTTCTGTCCACGATGGACAGTTACCTGGATGTATAAACAGAAATAAACCATTTGCTCCCGAAATTGTTTTTAGTAATGGTATTTGTTACAGCAACAGAAAGCAAACTAGAACATACATTTGGACCACTAATGACGCTGTGTCAATGTCTGAGGCAGTATGGGTAGTGTGAATGAGGCAGAGAATCCTTTTCAGTGCATGGCACCTGTAATTGGACTCTGAATGGACTCTGTAGTCTCAGCAGCAAGCTAGGCCAGCTCACAGAGAGCGGTTGAGATGCTGTGGGGATACCATCAGATTTTGGAAGTTGTGGTGATTTGAAGGTGTGGCCTTGTTGGAGTGGGTGTGGCTTGGCTGGAGGAAATGTGTCACTGTGGGGGTGGGCTTTGGGGGTCTCAGAATCTCAAGCCAGCTTCTTTCCTGCTGCCTGTCCATTCAGATGTAGACCTCTGAGCTCTTTCTCCAGCACCATGCCTGCCTGCATGCTGCCATGCTTCCCACCATGGTGATAATGGACTAAACCTCTGAACTGCAAGCCAGCCCCAGTTGAATGTTGTCCTTTATAGGAGTTGCTGTGTCATGATGTCTCTTCATATTGATGGAAACCCTAACTAGGACAGAAGCAATGCCCATATCTCACCAGTGTTCCTCCATAGATGCCGGATAAATGGTGAGAAAACACAGACTTTAGGCCTTAGAAGAATTGGTGGACACAAACTGACCCTCTACTTTGAAAGTGCTATTCTATATATTTGAGTTTTTCATTACTATATGGATTCCAAACAGATATAAAACTGAAGAAAATACATAATGAAATAATCCCATAAACCCAGTGACCAGCTTCAAAACCCAGGGACGTGGCCCATCTTGCCCAGAGGATGGGCAGTCCTCTGGGACACTTCTTTCCAGTAGTATTTGGAGGCAGAAATCAAATTTTATTATGTAATTTTATCCATAAACATCTCAATCTGTATTTAAAAATAAGATAAATTTAACTACAATATCATTGTTACAGAAAATGTTAAGCCCTCAATTATCATCAAATACTCAGATTTTTAAAATTTTAATTGTCTTATACATATCATTTGCTTTAAAATAGTTGCATTAGAGTTCAAATAATTTCAAACATTCTATAAATTTTGTTTTTCCACAGAGAAACAAAATCCAAAATTCATGTTTATGGAACTACAGTAAGAGAGAGGGTTGTTTTGTTTTGTTTTATCATAAAGGTCTTACAAAGCTGTGGGAAGCCCTAGAACTCTAGTTATTCTCATGAGTCCTATGTCTAGAGCCTTACACAGCTGGAAGCATTTGTCTATTGGGCTGCAGACCATGTTGGCAGATCAGTCATTTTCCAAGGGAGTCCAGCCACATTGGCAGTTACCCCATCGATGCCCCCAGCCCTCTGGCATTCCTGTGAGGTTTCAAGGTTCACTGAACCTCTGCTTCAAGACAGCATCATTTTTATATGACAGGGAAGCATCACCCGTTAAATCTCGACAATATGGACACCTAACTAAGACCTCCACAGTGACACCACCTGCTGACATTCCATCACGAATGGGAAAAATCTCACAAAGCCCCACTCCTATATGAAGAACTACAGGCAATTGAGGGCTGCCGAGAAAGGGAAAATCCATGTTCTCAGGAGACTAGTCCCCTGATAGGTTATCCCAAGTGGCCAGCCCTAAAAACATACTCGTACATGCAACACTAAATAGTCTTAGCAGGTAGGTGTGTGTGCTTCTATATGTATGTTTGTAATAAAAACAAAGACAAGGTCATGAAGTTGATATGGAGTGAAAGGGACATGAGAGGAGTTGACGAGAGGAAGAACTCCCACCCCAATTCCCCACAAAATCTAAAATAACTATATATTTAGAAAGAAAATACTTGAGGGTTCAGATGCCTGTGAACCCACCAGGGGGCGCTCGAGGAACTTGCTGAAGGTCAGAGTTGCATTTTGGCAGCTGTATCACCCAGAGCCTGAAATGCTCAGGTGAAATTTGTCTTTTCCCTAGAGCAGGCCCACAGGAGGGACCAGCCTCCGAAGTTGTGCTTTGCTTCCAAGCTGCTTGGAAAAGGCCAGGATGAACTCTGACATGCCTTATTGGAGGATTTGGTGTTTTTAGCCCACCTGCCTGGCAATGGTTTTCCTTCCATGTTTACTAAATTACAAAGAGAATATATGCAGATGTGAGTACCTTGTAACTCCATCACTCTTGGGTTTTTATTTTGTTTCATTGTTTATTTGTTTGCCAACAGTCTGCCTTTCCCTGGGGCTTTTTGTCTTCCCCACAGTTACACAGGTATACACTATTATACAATGTTATTCCTGTTTCACTCCCTCCCCAAGATGAGTTTATGATGAAGTCTCTACCCATATCCTCCCTGAAGGCAGATCACCCCTTGGTTCAACTGTCACAAATAGACATGACACCTCAGTGCCACAGAGTTTGTGTCTAGGTAAACCCTGAGTGTAGTTAATAACTACACTCCAAAGTTCAAGAATAGCAATGCTGGCAATTCAGACAGCCAAAAAGACAGTACAAAGGGCTCTCTTAAAAAGAGGAAGGGCCACAGTCCCAAAACATTTATTGCAATATATTGCTTACAAAGTTACACACTGTATAATAACCATCCCAACATGAATTATTTACTTTTAGTTGTTGTTTATTTCTTCCTTTGCCTAATTTACAAGTTATATTTTATCATAGGCATGTATGAATACAGAAAAACAGGACACACAGGGGTTGATAGTCTGCAGCTTCAGCCATCCACAGGGGGTTGGGGGGTGTGATGGGGGATACTCCAAAAATGTATCCCCTATAGATTAAGAGGAGCACTATAGCTTCCTAGTTCTGCTATAACAAAATACTACAACTAAGTGGCTTAACAATAGAAATGTCTGTCTGTCTCACACTGCTGCAGCCAGATGTCCATCGTTTGTGTGTGTGTGTGTGTGTGTGTGTGTGTGTGTGTGTGTGTG